TCCCTGAGCTATGTCTGGCCTCTGTGGGCCAGGGCAGAGGGCCGTGTCCAGGGCCTCGGAGGCCTCCCGTGTGCCCTCAGGTCAGGCCCACTCACCCACCCACCTACAATTCATTCACTTACCCACCCACCCATTCACCCACTTTCTCTCCCACTCACTCACTCCTCACCCACTCACCCACCCACTCACTCTCTCACCTACTCACTTATTCACTCACCCACCTACTCACCCACCCACCCACCCACTCACCTACCCACTCACTTACCCACTTTCTCTCCCACTCACCCACTCACCACCCACCCACTCTGCATCCTCAGTGAGACCCTGCTTGGGGCAGGTGCAGCTCTAAGTGTGGGATAAGCAGCCAAGACAGCAGGCCTGGCCTCCTGCCCGTGTGCCTTCCCTCCCGGGCAGGTGAGAGGTGCCTTGGCTTCTCCGGGTGACGTCCTCTTCTTCACTCAGTGTTTCCATGTCCACGTGCACCCTGCAGCCACATGCCGCTCAGGAAGCTGGATGTGCCTGGTGCATCTCAGAGGCACTGTGTCTCCCTGGCCTTGTGTGGGAGCCTCTGTGGGGTGCATGGCTTTGGGTGCTGTGTAGTGTCCTACTGTGTGACCAGGCCTTCTTCTGTCTTTCCCTCCTGCTGTTGGTGAACTCGTCCTGAGTTTTGGCTATTAGAGAAGACACCACTGTAAGCATTGTACCGGGTCTTCCAGGGTCCCCAGGGTGGCCTGGCATATGGTGGGCCATGTGCTCAGCTGAACTGGGTCCTGGCGACGGCTCTGACGCTTAGCCCATCCCAGTGGCCGAGGCATACGAACAGCCGTTTCCTGATGCTTACCAGGGCTCGGTGCCTGTCGCGGGCCCAGCACCCTCCCTGTTCTCGCTCACCAACTCTTTCGCCCAAGGCTCCCATCGTTGGTCTTTTTCTTGACTTCTTTATACAGGTGGCTCTCATCAGGGACCATTTGGCCTCCCACCAGAGCCATCCCCCCCTGGCCCCAAGTTTGGCTCTTGTGAACAATCACATGCCATCCTGGCCTATGGCTGTGGCTGCCATGGCGCCCAGCCCCTCTCCATGGACGCCTGAGCCATGGTCTTAGCCCTGGGTCATCCTGGTCTGGACCTTCCTCCTGTGTCCTCTTGATAGAGGCCTGGGCTGGGCTCTTACCCCAGCTACAGAGGAGGGGCAGGGGTTCTTTGCTTTTTTCTGGGGTCACTGCACCTGCAGGTGTCCCCTGCCCCAGCTGAGCTGGTTCCCAAGGGGTTACAATATTCACAACCCGTAAAGCCAACACCCACGCTCCCCTTGTTCCCCAGACACCACTGTGGGGGTGCACGGGCAAGGTCCAGGGCCCCCATGTGGGGCCGCAGCCCTAACCCACTCTGTTCAATCAAATTGCTTTTGGAGGGGGACGGGGAGCTCCAGCCACCTAACCAGACTCACAGTGAATGGAAGGATTGTTCTTTGAAACATGGATTTTCTGATGTCATTTTTGCTTGAAATAGAATTTACCTCTCAGGATCCATGAAGGATGAGGGAGAGGGATGTGGCAGGAACGTGGATTTCAAATCCAAGGGGAGTCACACTGCATGAAGAGGGTGGAGTGGGTGGGTGGCCAGCGGGGAAGACGGTGCTCTGGGAGAGGCAGGGGATGGCCGCCCAGGTCACTCTCCATTAGGGAGCACCCCGCAGCCCCCTGGGCTCTCTCCCATCGGAAGCAGGGCAGGGAACCGGCAGGACCTCGGTGCGAGGGGCGTGTTTGTGAAATGCTAGCAGCACCTTCAGCGTTTTCTTTGACGCCTTTGAGTCATTAGCCATCAGTTCCCGCCTGGCGAGTGGCGCTGTGCTCCTGTGGGTCGCACTGGTCTGAAGGGGTGAAATTGCCACCCAACTCCACTTTCTGCAAAGGAGTCAGGCCCGAAGGCTCGCAGGGCGTTCATCTTTGGCTTCTGGAGGGTCCTCCCCACCCCATGTTCTTTCCAGGGTCCCCTGTCCACCGGTCATTCTGCCCTGCTGCCTCCAGAGCCTCCCTCCCAGAGCTCACTGCTCCGCAGCGCTCTCCAGGGTGACCCAGGGTCTGCGGCAGGGGAGGGCAGGGCAGGGGAGGGCCGCAGAGCCCAGGCCCAGGAACTGGCAGCGAGGGCAGGCGCAGGGGCTGTGTCTGGCTGCTGGGCGGTGGCTCTGGGGAGGCAGCACAGTGGGCTTTGTCTTGCTCTGCAGAGGAGGAAAGCAGGCCAGGACACACTCACACTGACCCCCCATTCACACGCACACTGACACACACAGACACCCTCCCACTCCCACACTAACACACTCTCGCACACAGTTACACTAACACATCATCGCGTACACACTCACCCTCTCCCCCACACTCACACATACTAACACACTCACAAGTTTGCACACACACACAACCCCTCCATGCCAACTCACACACATACCCACTCACACCCCCACGATCACACTTACACATGCAACACTCATTCACACACATTCACATATCCATAGTCTCACACACTCACAAACACACAAAACACACACTCACACACACCCCACACCATCACACACTCACACCCCCACTCATACACTCACACAAACTCATAAGCACACTCACACCCCGTACATCACACAACATACATTCTCACACTAACACAGTCACAGCACACACACACCCGCACACACTTATACGCACTCACTCACACAGCACATGCTGGGCACACACACACTCATACACCACTCGCCACACACAGGCCTTCTGCATGGCTTGGAGGGACCCCTCCCTGGCCACGAGCTGCCCTTAGGGTGGGTCCCCTGCAGGAGGCGGCCTGGGCATATCCTGCTGGGTGTCTGGGAACCCTCACCTTCACCCCCTCCCACACAGTGCAGTCTCCCCCATGGTCATGACAACTTGCCATGTCCAGGGGCTTCTCAGGCTGGGGCTGGACTCCAAAGCAAAGGGGCCAGCAGACTGTCCCTGGGAGGGCTCTCCCAGCCTGCAGCTGGCCGCCTCCTCACTGCGTCCTGCACGGGACAGAGACGGAGCATGTGCCCCCTGGACTCTCCTCCTTCTCTTGGAGGACTCCTGTGCTGCAGGGCGAGGACCCACCCTCAGGTACTTCTGAGGCCTCATGCTCCCCAAGGCCCTGTCTCCAAATCCAGCCACATGGGAGGACAGGGCTTCAACACAGGGACGTGGGGGACACACTCTGTCTGCTTGCAGCACAGGGCCCAGGGCCTGCTCCCTCCTCACCCAGCTGCTCTGGCTCCAGGCCCTGGACCACGGAGTTGCCCCCAGGGCTGCCATCCTGGCCTCCACACCTGTGCGAGCCGCCCCAGCCCTGTCCACGCCCCACAGCCCCTGGGGTCCTCCCTTCCTGTGTCCTGCTCCCCCAGGAGAGTCCCCCCTGCTCGCCTTTCAGATGCTGCATACTGAAGGTAGGAGTGTCCTCCCCACGTGACACCCCCTCCCTCAAGGGCAGGACTGACTTCTACTTGACACCTGAAAAGGGCTTCCTCTGTCACCCAGTCAAACAGTTGGAACCCTGGGACCCCTGGGGGAGGCTTCCTCCATGTGGGAATGCGGGGAGGGCAGGATGGGCCTTTCCCACAAGAAGGGTCTGGCAGTGGTGGCCCTCCCCGCAGCATGGACAGAGCCAGGGACACAGCCTCAAGCAGGGTGGTGACATTGATCCTGCTTCACCCTGGATGCTACTGCAGCTCTTCAGGCCCAGCCCCTGGCTTGTGGTAGAGTGAAAGGAATCCAGCAGCCACGCTGTCTCACTGCGGGTGACCGTGAGGGACACACCGGTCCCAGTGCAGACGGAGGCTGGTGGGCTGTGCAGACTTCAGGGGGTGCTCCTCTAAAGAGGGGATGAACCAACAGGCACACCTTCCGGTCTGTTCCGAGGAAACTATTTCTTTGAGAACAAAAGCAGAGCCTGGCCTCCTGGGTGGACCAGTGGCAGATGGGGAACAGGGTGCGGGTCTGTCCATAGTTACTGCGTCCAGGAGAGGGCCGTCACCAGCTGTGTGCCCTTGCACAGCCTGGGCATGCTTTCTGGCCCGGCCAGGCGGAGAACCTGGGCTGGACTCAGGTCACTCTTCCCTTTGGGTGTGCCCCCAGCACGTGGCTGTGACCGAGTGGTGTTTCCATCCCTCCCTGTGGGCAAGTGGAGGATGCCACCCCCTGGGGACAGGCTACTGTCCACCTGCATCCAAGAAATGCCTTGTCAGGGCTGGACAACAAGAGCACCTTGAAACAAGCTCTGGGCAGTGGCCACTTCTCCTGGGGTTTCTGGTGGCCAGGCCTCTGGACGGACAGCTCTGGAATCTTCCCCTTGGTTTGGCCTCCAGCCTGGAGCTGGGGAGGACGAGTGCCTGGGGTGCACTGCGGTCAGCGGCTGGAGACCCGGCAAATGCACGTGACTTTATCAGAAGTCCAAGTACACTCTGGCCACTGCCAAATCCCTGGCTGTCTCAAAGGAAGGGCAGGAGGTTCCTTTGTGTGGAGCAGGATGTCAGGGGCCCAGGAGGCGGTGCTGGAGCGGCCTTGCGGGCGGGTGTTTGGGCTGTGTGGGCACTGGCTGCAGGGCGGGGTGGCCCAGCAGCAAGACGGAAGCGGGGAGGGCAAGGCCGGTGTGGCCACTGTGGCCGGTGTGGCCCGGCACCTCCTTGATGGGGGTCTCAGGGGTAGGAGCAGCCCTTAGCAAGTGTCACCTACAAACCAGGTCAGGATGTCAGGAAGGAGAGACTTTACTGGGAAGGACACTGCACGCAAGGCGGAGTGAGTGGGCAGTTGGGTCTGCCTCTGAAAGGTCGGCAGGGCCTCTCCTCCCGTGCGGAGAAGCCAACAGGAGGAAGAATGGAGTGTGGGAGGCGAGAGGGTGCAGGAGTGGTGGGACAGGAGGGAGGGGCAGAGAGGCTCTCCGTGGACTCAGGCTGGGGCGGGGTGGGCACGATTCAGGGGCCCAGGGGAGGACAGAGAAATTTAACCCAGTTTGGTTGAGGAGGATTTTGTTTCTTTTGATCAATGAGCAACAAAGGATGGGAAGGGGGCCAGGGCCGTCCTTTGTCCTGGGGAAGCTGCGGGCCACGCGTGGGTCTGTATACATCTTGCTGGGAAGGAGTCTCCTTGGAAGAAGCTCTTCCTGACCAGGAAGCATGAGGTCTTCTTCCACCAAGGCCCAGAGGTCAGGTGGCTTGCTGAAGGAGAGCCCAGAGGGGGCCACCAGCTCTCTGACTCTCAGAGCGTGCCTCTCTAGGGGTCCAGTATTCTGCAAGCAGAACAAATGAGCCAAGGGGGAGTGGTAATGAGTGACCCCCCGGGTGTGTGTTCCAGCCCATCGCTGATGGGGACACATGTGCCCCATAGAGACCTTGTCCCATAGGACAGGGGCTGCTGCTCAGCTACAGGCGACTGATGTTTGGGGAATGCAAGCCTAGCCTTACCCCATCTTCTAGATATTTCAAGAGGAGCAGGATATTGGGATTTGCTAGCTTCTATTTTTCAAAAATGCCAAACAAGTCAATCAAAACATGCGTGTAAATCAGATACAGCCCTTTAGCCACCAGTTTGAGACTCCCGCCAAATCTTCCTGACCCTTTACTTTGCCAAGAGTCAACAATTAATTCATATTTTGGAAGTTCACCTGTGTTCAGACTTCGATACTGCAAAGTGATGTGCTCATTTTGTTTTGTGTGAGCTTTCTTTGGCTGTGAATAGCAGAGGCCTTCCCTGGCTCAGAGGTAGGGTGGGACTTGCTCACAAGGTGACAGAGGACTCCCACGTGGGGCCCCGACGGCGCCCTCAGCAGGCTCTGCACCCCTCCCCCCTTGCTTCTTCCCTGTCTTTATGGATCTCACTGACTTGTAACTTCACCCAGGAATGGCCTCTCGTGTCGCTGACCTGTGGAGCCCCAGATGGAGCTCTCAGCTCATTCCTTTAACTGTCCTTTGAGCTTCAGTTCTCCCTGCCAAATGTCGTGTTCGGGTGGTGTCTGTTGATTCATTTCATTAAGGAGAGGAATTTCCCCTCATAGGTCACTCTCTGGTCCTAGGCAAGCACATGGACCAGCTGCTCAGGTCAAATGTCCGTGCTGGTCCAGTCGACTGAGAAGGGAGGACTCAACGGGTGTAAGATGGGAGCCAAGGTCTGCTCACCTGGCACGGTTTGTGGGCTGGACAGAGGTCTTTAGGAAGGGCCACGGCTACAGGCAAATACCAAACACAATTATCTCCAGATCTAATCAACTTGACAGTTTGCTTCACAAGGACCTCTGAAGGTGGAAGAGGATTCTTTAACCTAGGATTGCAAGGTGCTGGGGTGGAGGTTTGGTTGACAATGGGCCTGGGTCCCTCTGCTCAGAAACGTGGCTTACCTAGGGGTGTTATCAGTTAGAAATCCTGAGTCACCCCCCTTTAAGTAAAGTTCTGTGTTTGTAAATTCATTTTAGTTCAGTGTTTTTGAAAGAGGGAGTGACGTTAGTGATGTTCATGTAGAACAACAAACTGTCAGAGTCAGAATTCCAAGGAACACGGTGCTCATCCCTCATTTGTTCTGCTCTGGAGGCCGGCTCAGCTTCCCCTCCGGGGACCACACCCAGCTGTGCCACCTCTTCCCCAGGCCCAGGGGATGCTCACTCATCCTGGCCAGTCTTCTCAGGGTCAGGAACTGCCAGGAGCTTAGTAGGAATCTGTTGCAGTCGATGCAGTCATCCATCGAACCTGCTCAAGTTACAATTCTGAGGAATCTCAAGGAAGGAAGTGGGGTAGAAACACAGAAAATGGTTTTGGGAATTTTTGCAGTCAACCATGAAGGAGCAACTGGTGTGGAACTCATGATAGTTATTATGATTATTTTTTCCTTCCTGAAAGAACTAGAAAATTGGACAAGTATAAGAAACAACTGGATTTGGACATGAGGCTGACAGGCTGTGCAGCGCTGCGATCCAAGGAGAAAGGAAACAACTAAAACAAGCTGTACAATCAGCTCAGCTTCCCCAGAGGCAGTTCTGTACTTCCAGTCGGGTGGGGGTGAGGCAGAGCACGCACATGTTCCGGAGCAGGGAGGAGGTGCCGGACCTTGGGAGGCGGAGGTGGGGCAGAGTGCCAGACAGAGCAAGATACCCAAATGAGGACAGTCAATTCCCAGCATAGGGTCCCCCTTGATCTTTACTGAATATCGATCTGTGCATGTGTGGGGAAATCTCAGGAGCCGGACCAGGAACAGTGAGGTAGAAGCTGAATGATTCCCAGAACTCACACCAGACTAGGAGACGTTTGAATCCCATCTGTCCAGCAAGAGAGCTCATGGAATTCTTGAGGCAATCACCACAGAACACAAGGGATCATGCTTTAGCAGTAGGGACACATCAGTCCCAGAGTAAATGCTACTGCAGATCACCCTAGGAAAACTTAAAAACAAGCCTCGAAAGGGTCAACCTTGTTGGCAAGTAATGTACTGTCTATTGGAATAAATGTCAACACTCTTTAGAGTAAGACAGAAGAGAAAATGCTATACATTTCCCAATGTTACCTTTAAAATGCCTGGCATTCAATAAAAAATTACCATATAGGTGAAGAAGGAGAGGTGGTGGCTCAGAATCAGGAGATTGATAAAAACAGAACCAGCAATGATAGGAATGATAGAATTGGTGAATTTTAAATGGCTACTGTAAATATGGCATATCTGCTCATGACTATAAAAGAAAATCCAAACATAAGTGGGAAAGAAGATGAGGTGTTAACAATAACCAAATGAAATGTCCAGAAATGAAAAGTAATTTTACAAAATGGAAAGTTCACTGATTGATGAGTATCAGATTAAACACTGCAGAAGAGAAAATCAATACACTCAAAGATGGAGATAAAACTTGTCAAGATGGAAATAGATTAAAAAAAAAAACCGAAGAACCTCAGGGCTGTTGTCAAACACGCACATAACTGGATTTCAGGAATGAGCTTGGCGAGGGAGGCAAGAGTGGGCAAAATATTTGGAAAAATAATGGTCCTAAAGCTTCCAAATTCTATGGAAAACAAAACAAATATTGTATAGGATAGACACTAACATGAGCACATGGAGGCACATGGTAATCAAATTGCTGGAAATCTATGAAAACGAGAAGATTTAAGAGCAGCCGGAGGGGAAGAGACCCATGACACTCAGGGAAACAGCAATAGGCTCACTGCAGACTTCTCTTCAGGGAAGTGCCCGCTGGGTGACGGTGGAACAGCAATTCTCAAACACTGAGAGAAGAACACACCCAACTGAAATTCTGTGTGTAGCAGAAACTATTTTTCAATGATGAAGCTGAAACAAAGATTTTCTTCACACACACACACACACACACACACCACACACACACCCTGAAAGAACTTTTCACCAGTGTACCTGTACTTCAATAACTATTAAAAGGACTTCAGGCTGAAAGATGGTGACCCCAGAAATTATTTTACAAAGTAGAGAAGAACACTAGAAAAATGGCAGATATCAAGGGCTTCTCTCTCTTTATAAATATCCTTACCAAGTAATGGCAGTTCTAAGCAAAAGTGATGACAGTGTGCTGTGGGTTTGTGACACACCTGTGTAGAAGTCAAGGTACATCAGGGTGCACCAAGGACAGCAGGAGAGATGCTGGCAGGCCCTCACCTGGGGTGTGGAACGTGTAAGAGTCTGCAGTGCAGGCTGTGGTAAGTTAAAAGCAGTGTGAACCCAAGAGCAGTTGCTAGGAAAACAGAAGAAGTGTTGTTAAAAAGCCAAGAGTGAAAATAAAATTGAAACTCAATCCAAAATAAGCCAGGAATAGAGAAATAAGAGCAAAGAACACAAGAGCCCAATAGAAAACAGCCACCTGGTAGACTTTAACCCAATCAAATCGATAATTACATTAAATGTAAATGTTTTAAACACTCTGATTAAAAGTCAGCGATTGTCCGATTGTATTTAAAAAGCAAGATCCAATTAAATGTTAAGGATAGGAAACAAAATTTAAATAGAAGAGAGAAATTCAAAGTGAAGGATGAGAAATGGTCCCCATGCCAACACTCATTGTGAGAGCCACATTGGCTGTGTCCACCACGCAGGGCAGGCTGTAGGAAAGGGGTGATATTACCAGAGACGAAGGGGACTTCTCCCAATGGTGAAGAACAAGTCCATCTACCAGAAGAAAGAACAACCCTAGATTTTTATGCGATCCCAGGCCCAGGAGCTCAGCCCAGGGAGAAAAGCAACGTTCCAGAGACGAGCCGGAGGGAGAAAGGCTTTCTCAGTGGCCGAGGAATGGAGAAGAGAGGCTGTGCTCCAAGGCAGCCTCCGCACCAGTGTGGAGGGTCACAGATACGGGGCGGGGACAATGGGAGAGCCGCGGTGGTAAGGGAGGAATGTTCGCAGTCTGTTCTGGGGGTAGGTGGGTCTTCACCAGACGGCACCTCTCCCCCTCCCTCCCTGCTCTGCTGTGTCTGGCCATGGCAGCTGGGAGATGAACCAGGGTGGGAGAAGAGGGGGGGGGCCCACTAGGAAACCTGGGCCAAGTCAGCCCTGTGTTATAGTTTTGGGCGAAACCCTTGTCAATGACGACCCCATGGGTGACATCCCCAGCCATTCTGCCCGTGTTCTCCCCGATGGGGCTTCAACTCCTACTCTGGCCGCCGATCTCCTGTCTATCCCCGCACGCCCCTGAGCTTGGGCTGGTCGCCCCTGGTCTAGACGGGCAGCACCTCCTCCACACCCCCGCCGCCTGCGTCTGCCTGGGCCTGCCAGTGGGCTCCTGAGCTGGACCATAGGCCAGGCCCTGGCTGAAGATGTGTGGAGCCTCCTGCTGTCCTCAGGACAGAACCCCGCCCCGGGCCAGCCTTCGTGGCTCTGCCCTGTTACCTGCCTCCCCCTTTCCTCGCCTGGCTCCCCGGCCATCTTGTCCCCAGCGCCTGTCAGCCGCTGTCCATTGCGGCGCCGACACCTGGGGAACCGGCTCACAGGACAGGCTGAGGCCCACTGCAGCCTCAGCAGGGGTCACTTGCCTTGGTCATTTCTGGACTTGGGATGAGGTCCAACGTCCTGAGGGAGTGTGTGCCGGAACAGAGCGGCTCACCTGGTGGCAGGCAGGAGACACAAGCCAGGGGAGGGTCAGGGCCCCAGCACCCCGCAAGGACACACCCGGGTGACCTACTTCCTTCAGCTACCTTTCCCACACCTCCCAGTAACACCACAAGCCGGGGCCACGCCCACCAACACACGGTCAGTAGGGCACCTCCCAGGTCCTAACCACGGCAGCTCCTGGTGGAGGGGACCTGTCGAGGGGGCCCCACGCCTCCTGGTTCTCCTGCTGCAGTCTGTGTGCTGAGCCCTGCCACAGAGCTGGCTCCTCTCTGCTGGGCTGCTGTGACTGTGCCCCATGCCCTGGCCCATGGCCAGCAAGGAGACAGAGCGTTCTTCTGTGGTCTCCGGGGCTGGGTGCAAAGGGAGTCTCAGTAGGTGCAGGAACTTAGTCTCCACCACGTCGCTGGCCCTGGCAGGGGTGGGGACAGGCCACCAGTCAGGGAGTTTCCACTCAGCCAAGGGGGAGGCAGGGAAAGAAATCAACCCAGAGCAGAGGGACACAGGGGATAGGCCTGAAGCACGGGCAGAAGAGCCGGCTCACTGAGAAGGGAGGCTGGGTCCTCAGGGGTTATCATGAGAAGAAAATGAAAGTCGATGCTCACCCAGAGAAAGTCAAACCCAAGCAGCCTCCAGTGACTTCCAGATCAGTGCAAACCCCTTCACTGCAAATACTTCTCCCAGTCAATAGGTTCCCTCCCCAGGACCCTTATTCTCAGGCCTCTCTGTGTGGGTACAGCCTGTTCCCAGGTGTTCAGAAAACACATGTGCACTTGGAAGGAGGAATGCATTATTCATCCACCATCTCCTGGTGTCCCTGCAGCAGGGAAAACAATCTCACAACAAAAAAGAAAAGAAAAAAAGGAAGGCAGGAATACTACGCCGCAGAGTGGTGTCAGAGCACTCAGAAGCACTTAGGGGGGACACTTCCCTTGCTCAGATGGACCCGAGGCCTCACCGACACGTGGAAGACACTTCTCAGATGGGCAGGGGCTGACAGCGGCAGGAGGACGCCCACGCTGGGACGCTCACACCTCTCTGTGTCTCCCGCCCGTTGGCTGGTTGCAGGGCCCGCCGAGAGCAGGGCTGGGTGCAGAGTCTGGGGTGGCTTTAGTGAGTTGTGATAAAGAGTAACGGTTCCAAGGTGACCTTAACATCCTGGGCAAGGCCCTCCCTCCATGGCCGGGCTGGGGGTGACGATTGTCCTGGGCTCTGGAAGGTGGAATTCTCAGTCCCCTGGAGAGAGATCTTCCTCCTGAGTTCAGGTTTAACAGCCATCGTCCAAGAGCACTTAGAAACCTGCGGTCTTTGAATCCTGTTTCCCTGCAGGTCTTCTGTGCACAGGAGGGCACGCTGCTGTTAGCTAGATCTGCTCAGCTCCCCTCAGAAAGGGCCTCCTTCCAAAGCCTCGCTTGGGCCAGGAGCCAGCGTCCACTCTGACCAGGGTGACAGGCTGAAGTCAGATGGCGTAGGAGGTGAGACCTGGAGGGTCCCATGGCCATCAGCTCTCCCGTCCCTGCTTGGGAAAGAGCAGGTGGAATTGTCCCCACAGAAGGGCAAAGGCCAGAGTTCACATCAATGTGCCACCCCTGGGAGGTACTGGATCTTAAACAAAAGAAATTGAGTTTGAAAGGTGGGGTCCCAGACTGAAGGTGGGCCACCAGGTGGGGAAGAACTTTGTTGTAGGGGACAGAACCCATCATGCCTCTTGGGCCTGCCCTGAAATCCAGCCAGACTAGGCTTTTGTGTGCACTACCCAGTTCTGGGCATTGTCAATTTCACACACACAACATCCAAGCGAACTGGAGTAGCCATCAGATGGGCAATAGATTGTGACGTGTGTGCCCCTCGGCTGTGGTTCAGGGGCTCCCCTAGGCAGTCAGCTCAGGTGCATTGTGGGGGGTGTTCAGGTGACTTGCCTAAACAACAGTGCTGAGATTGGTGATGATGATGGTGGAGATGGTGCTAGTGGTGGTCATAGTAGTGCTAGTGCTAGTGGTGGTGGTGGTGGTGGTGGTGGTGGTGGTGGTGGTGGTACTGATGGTTGTGGTGGTGGTAGTAGTAGTAGTAATGATAGTGGTGATGGTGGTGGTGGTAGTAGTAGTAGAGGTAGTGATAGTGGTGATGGTTGTGGTACTGGTGGTGGTGGTAGAAGTATTGATAGTGGTGGTGTTGGTGGTAGTAGTCGTGATAATGATAGTGATGATGGTGGTGGTAGTGGTCGTAGTGGTGGTAGTAATAGTGGTGGTGGTTGTCGTAATGGTGGTGGTAGTAGTGATAGTGGTGGTGGTAGTAGTGGTGTTAGTGATAGTGATGGATAGTTGTGTTACTGATGGTGATGGTGGTGGTAGTAGTAGTGGTGGTAGTGATATGGTGATGGTGGTGGTGGTTGTGGTACTGGTGTTTATGGTGGTGATAGTATCAGTGGCAGTGATAGTGATGATAGTGGTGGTGGTGGTGGTAGTAGTAGTGGTAGTGATGATGGTGATGGTGGTGATGGTGATGATGGTGGTGGTTGTGGTACTGGTGGTGGTGGTAGTAGTGGTGGTAGTGATGGTGGTGGTGGTACTGGTGGTGTTAGTGGTGATAGTAGTGGTGGTAGTGATAGTGGTAGTAGTGATGGTAGTGATGGTGATGGTGGTGATGGTGATGATGGTGGTAGTGGTGGTACTGATGTGGTAGTGGTGGTGGTAGTGATAGTGGTGATGGTGGTGGTAGTGGTGGTACTGATGATGGTAGTGGTATCAGTAGTGGTGGTAGTGATAGTGATGGTGATGGTGGTGGTGGTGGTGGTGGTAATGGTGGTAGTGGTGGTGGTAGCAGTAGTGGTAGTGATAGTGGTGGTGGTAATGGTAGTGGTGATGGTGGTGATGGTGATGGTGGTGGTGGTTGTGGTATTGGTGGTGGTGGTAGTAGTGGTGGTAGTGATGGTGGTGATGGTACTGTTGGTGTTAGTGGTGATAGTAGTGGTGGTAGTGATAGTGGTGATGGTGGTGGTAGTGGTGGTACTGATGGTGGTAGTGGTGGTAGTGATAGTGATGGTGATGGTGGTGGGGGTGGTGGTGGTAATGGTGGTAGTGGTGGTGGTAGCAGTAGTGGTAGTGATAGTGGTGGTGGTAGTGGTGGTAGTGATAGTGATGGTGATGGTGGTGGTGGTGGTGGTGGTAATGGTGGTGGTGGTGGTGGTAGCAGTAGTGGTAGTGATAGTGGTGGTGGTAGTGGTAGTGGTGATGGTGGTGATGGTGATGGTGGTGGTGGTTGTGGTATTGGTGGTGGTGGTAGTAGTGGTAGTAGTGATGGTGGTGATGGTACTGTTGGTGTTAGTGGTGATAGTAGTGGTGGTAGTGATAGTGGTGATGGTGGTGGTAGTGGTGGTACTGATGGTGGTAGTGGTGGTAGTGATAGTGATGGTGATCGTGGTGGGGGTGGTGGTGGTAATGGTAGTGGTGGTGGTAGCAGTAGTGGTAGTGATAGTGGTGGTGGTAGTGGTGGTAGTGATAGTGATGGTGATGGTGGTGGTGGTGATGGTGGTAATGGTGGTGGTGGTGGTGGTAGCAGTAGTGGTAGTGATAGTGGTGGTGGTAGTGGTAGTAGTGATGGTGGTGATGGTGATGGTGGTGATGGTGATGGTGGTGGTGGTTGTGGTATTGGTGGTGGTCGTAGTAGTGGTGGTAGTGATGGTGGTGATGGTGGTGGTAGTGGTGGTACTGATGGTGGTAGTGGTGTCAGTAGTGGTGGTAGTGATAGTGATGGTGATGGGGGTGGGGGTGGTGGTGGTAATGGTGGTGGTGGTGGTGGTAGCAGTAGTGGTAGTGATAGTGGTGGTGGTAGTGGTGGTAGTGATAGTGATGGTGATGGTGGTAGTGGTGTCAGTAATGGTGGTAGTAGTGGTGGTAGTGAAGGTGGTGGTGGTGTGGTGAGTCGACGGATGGTGTAGTGGGCTGCCTTTATGTCCGCTGTGCTCAGGCCTTGACTACTCTTGGTCCTTGACTACTCTGTGGTCAGCCCTGCTGGGGTCACCCATGACCTGCCTTCATGAGGAGCAGAACACAAGCCTGAGGCTCAAGGCCAGGGTCTCTCCCCACCCTCCCGCAGCGGGCGTGGGAGGGCCGTGTAGACCAGGCCCGAGGAAGCCTGCTTCCTGGCTCCCGTGCTCCTGGGATTCTGGTTTGTTCAGGTTTAGGACCAGCGTGTGGCAACAGCAGATGGGCAGGGCTGTCCTCTCCCCCAGCCCTCTGCCTACTGTGCCAAGCCCCCAGCTTTAGTGTCCTTCAGAACCCCCGAGGCCCCTGCCAGGTGGGGATCAGGCTGGTCCTCTTGGTAGCAGTGGACACCCCTTCTGCTGCCCACTCCTGCCCCCTCCCAGGCTCCCAGGGCTTCCTTTCCGCCTGCCTTGGGGCATCTCGAGGGTATTCCCAGGCTCTGCCCACTGTAACGAGTCCTTTGGCAGCTCGGGGACATCCGAGGCCACCCTGGGCTCCCCGGGGCAGGTCACCACGACAAGAAGCCCAGGAGCCCTCTAACCCAGGAGGAAGGTGTTCACTCCCTTCCGTGATTATTTCTGGCTCCACCACGTGGGAGGCTCTTGATCCAAAGCTAGGCCTGCTGCAGGGGACAATTGCATTCCCACAGCGAGGTCCCTGGGCACAGAGGGGTGGCGCTGAGTCCTCAGGCCTCGTGACGAAGCCTCTCAGGGGGAGGCACCTCTCAGAGTTTCAATGGGGACACTTAATTGGCTGCAATTTTCTAACTCGATTCTTCAACTTGTAAGTAAAATGACAAGTCTCTGCCCCGGGCCGGGGGTCAGCTGTGGCCTCTCGGAGACCGTCATTCATTTCTTTTCAGCTGCTGTTGGTTAGGCGCTGCGGGCCCCATTCCCAGGTGCTGGCCTGTCATTATCTGTCACTAGGAGTCGTGCTGGAGCTGGCCGGGGGCCATGCACCTGCCTGGCCCTGCAGCCCACCCCAGGCTGGGTTCTAGGGCGTCCTGAGGACTGGGTGGGGCTCTGCTCCCAGGGCCTCATGGGAAGTGCAGGGGTGGGGACCTGAGGATGTGCTCCGGTGGTCCACGCTCCAGCTGCATCTTCCAGGGCAGCAGGGACATGGGGTCTCTTGCTGTTGTGACCTCATCATCTTAGTGATGGATACCATTTCAGGCAGAAGCTGACATCGGGCGGTGGCTACCTGGGAGAGGAAGGCTTGGAAGTTCTGCTTGGTAGCGCAGCTGCTCGGGCCTGAGAGTGGCACTGGCCAGCATGTGGTCACGCTGAGCACCCGGTCACTCATCATCATAGGGTCAGCCATGAGGTGGGTTGAGCTTTCTCCACATGGAAAGGAGCCAGGGGACGTGGCCAGTACCTGTGGCCCCTCTGTCCCTTCCCCCTGGACAGGTGGATGGGGCTGTCTGCAGAAGCCACCACCATTTGGCTCCAAGAAGGCAGTGGTGAAGACCAAACCCTGCCTGTGAGCCTGAGGTGGCTGCACATACAGCCTCAGGGCAGGAGAGAGTGCAGGACAGGTCGGCAGGGGAGAATTGGCAGTGTGCCCTCCTGAGTGGTGGGGAAGGAGGACAGGTTTAGGAACCCTTGTCAAGACACCAGACCCTCCATAGCATGTCAGAAGGGTTCAAGATCTGGTAGGCCCATCAGGGTAAAGAATGTGCCACTTATGACATGGCCCTTTTTGCTGGAAGGAAACTAGACATGAGGGAAGGAGCTGTGGCAGCCAGCTTGGGCTGTGAGGTGGAAATAGCTGTGAAGATGGCAGAGCAACAAGATGGAAGGGGTCTGGGTCTCCCAGGAATGGGGCCAGTACCAGGACGTTATCTGCGGGGGAGACCTCTGGCTTGCTTTTGTGTGTGGGGATCTTTGTCGCAGCAGCACCACCTGCATCTTCAGCAGTATGCAGCTGATTCCTTCCTGTGGGAGCCTCCTCTTTCCTTGGGCCAACCCCACCCCGAGATAGAGCTACCTTGACATCGGGGTCCCTAGCGCTCCTTTGAGAAGTCCCGCTATTCTCTGCCTCTCTTTCCCGTTGCTCCCTTAGCGTCCAGGCCTCGATTTCCGGGTCCCTTCCCGGCTCTCTGGAGGGCGGCTCCTCCCCCCCCTCGTGGAAGGGGCCAGCTTGTGGGAGGGTGTGGCCGTGTTGGAAAGAAGCCGCCTCAGAATCCTGCTTGTCCCTCGTAGCAGGGCATCTCCTCGGGAGGGAGGAGGCCTTGGGCCTGCTCTGTCCCACGGTTCACAGAGAAAACTGGTGTCGGGTGGGTGGGTTTGGGACCCACCCACCCAGAACCCCAGGCCTCTGCCTTTATTTTGATTTATTTTTTTCTTTTTGGTACAAGGGATAGAACTCAGGGGCACTCACCACTGAGCCACCTCCCCAGCTCTATTTTGTATGTTATTCAGACACAGGGTCTCGCTGAGCTGCTTAGCGCCTTCCCATTGCTGAGGCTGGCTTTGCAATCGAGATCCTCCTGCCTCAGCCTCCCGAGCCTCTGGGATTCCAGGCGTGGGCCACTGCACCCGGCTACTGCCTCTATTTTGAGTGATTGTTTTTTCTTTTAACGTTGGAGACCTGCCGTCCGCCAGCTGCTTGGCCGGCGTTTGCCTCCTCACCTCCATGGAAGCCGCGTTGAGTCTGATGGGATTCCTGATGTGAAGTCCTCGTCCGTCGGATTCCCATTTTATGGACAATGTTGCTTTTCAGAGAGTTTCCTGCTAAGCAGTCGCAGGCGAGGGCCTGGGAGGAGGGACAGAGGCGCGCTGGGTCTCGGGCCAAGTGCAGCGCGGGGGTGGAGGACCCCGCCGGCCACCTGGCCTTTCCTCTCCTGGCTCCAGTGGCCTTGCGACCTGTGGGGAGCCACAGCCAAATTCTTCAGTGAGTGACAGTGATCCTTCCTTTGGCTTCAGGCTTGCCAGAGACTGACCTGTCCTTGTCTTGGGACAAGCAGCCAGTTTACAGTGCCCAGGGCCTCCCGGCCTCCCCAGGGGCCAGTCCTCAGGTCCCCCCTCTCAGAGGGAGCCATGGTGTGTGGAGATCTGCACGGGGCCGAGGGTCCTGCGTGGCCTGTCCTCTCTGCAGGGTGGGTGGCCATGTGTGGTTCCGCCAGGGCCCAGGCCCTCTGTGAGTGCTCTTTGGGCCAGGGGTTCTGGCCAGAGGGTTCTGAGGGGCTGGGAATCCCTCTTTGAAGGTGCGGGTGGCTCTTTCTGTGGTCTCATCCAGGAAGTTGTCACAAGTTTGCAGAGCTAGAGCCTGCCGGCTTCCAGGGTCTGCCCCCTCACGGTACACCCCCAAAGGAGCCGAGGGCTCAGTGGGGGACTGGACCTCAGAGGCCCAAGAGTCATCATGGTCAACAGGCAACATGAAAGGCCAGCAGGGCCCAGACCTACCCTCAGGGGTGCAGAGGAGGGACGGGGCTCTGCTGGGGGGACTTCCGGGCAGAAAGTGAGAGAAGGAATGGATGAGTGGGGCTGCTCCACTGGCCTGGAGCCCTGACCAGAGGTGCATGGGGACCCCCCCACCACAGCACGGCCCAGGCCACCAGGACAGAGCACAGGGCGCACGCCCCACGCCTGGACAGAGCCTTGGGCCAGACTGAGCTTCTGAGGACAGGAACAGTTACTCCCAGGGGCCAAGAGCGGCTCCTGGGCTCAAGGGTCATGGCTCCCCACTGTGTGCGTGGGGTCCAGCTGGCTCCCGAGTGGCCACTGGAGGACCTGCCTGAGCCCTCCCCAACAGAGCCGCAGCTCCATCCTCTGCCACACCTGGAGGGGGCACTGCCAGGCCTCCCGCTGGAGACCAAAGGCAGGGCTGCGAAGGAGGAGCTGGGGTGGTCCCACGTCCCCTTTGAGCCCTGAGGTGGCCGAGGTGGAGGGCAGGTGCTCAGCCCGGCCTTCCTCCCGGCAGCTCTGTGGGTGACGTGGCTCCACCCCGGGAGAGAGCGGCAGGCGTGGTGTGCAGCTGTCTCACGACTCCCCTCCCACCAGCAAGCACCCGGCCTCCCTGCTGTGGGGCAAGGCCGGCCCAGAGGAGGGAGAACAGAGGGAGGCCCAGCGTCCCCTGGGCAGTTGTGAGACGGGCCTGTCACTGGGACAGGCACTAACTGCTGAGCTGGGGCTGAGCACAAGGTCGTGCCTGGGCTGCTTGGTCCCATGAAGGGTCGCCTTCCTCAGGACAGAACTGAGACCCAGGGAAGACGTCACCAGGAGGCTGCGGACAGGCCTGGAGAGGGCAGAGAGGAGACTGACCCTGCGGAGACTCTGCTGGGCAGGGGCAGGAGCAGGGACCTCGCGGAGCCTGGTGGCGGTCCGTGAGGGGGGCTTTGACGTGTTATCCCCTCTCGAGGGTCCAGCACGAACACCAGGCCCTCCCCTGCTCTGCAGGGCTGCAGCCTGTGTTCCCAGGACGCTGGCCCCGGGCCAGTGTCGGAGCTGCTGGCTCCCGTCACCTTCATCAACGATGGGTCCTCCCCTGGGAAGGGGGTGCTGGGTGGGGAGGATGTGGCCAGGAGCTGGTGGACAGTGGGCCTCCCTGGGAAGCCGGGGAGGGGTGCTGAGGGTGAGCAGGAGGGGGCGCCTGGGCTGGGGCGACCATGGGGACACCCGGCTGGGTCCTGAGCAGGGAAGGTGGGGCTGTGAGTCACAGCCGGCTTCCACAGCTGTGGCCCAGGCATGTGTCACCAACGGCCAAAGCCCAGGACGGAGGCCCAGAGTGGCTCTGGCTCCCGTGAGGTCTGTCTGGGTCCATGTTGACAAGGAGCTCGGGCAGCAGCCGTCCTGGAGTGGAGAGGGCTGCCTCTGCTCCCGCGTGTCACGGCCACCTGGGCGGCCGTAGCGAGATAGCATTGAAGTGGCACCCCCTTTCTCCACAGAAAACCCTCTCCACCATGGCTGATATTAGGACTGTTGGCAAAAGAGTCCAAGTAGATAGACTTCCTATTTTCATGTCGCCCTGTTTACTTGGCCACTGGCCTGGGAGACACCAGCGCTCCAGGTGCTGGACACCCCTTACCAGCTTTTCACAAACATGTATCCAGTATAGTAGTTTGTAGAAATGTGCAAACAAGGCTCTGGCCTTGAGCTGGGCTTCACAGAGATGTCTACATTTCTAAGATGAGTTACAATTGGGCTCCATGGTAACAGCTGGCAGGGGAGGAAAGAGAGGGGAGAGGAAGCTCCCCCCTTCTCAGGTGTGGTCCTTGAAGGGTTAACGTGCCCAGAACAGTGAGAGAAAAAGCTGCTTTATGTGAACTTCTGCAGACTGTGAACTTCTGAGCCCCTCCCCTTACACGCTGGGCATAAAACTCTGAAACTCCCTGGTTCAGGGGGTTGATTGATTACAGCAAAAGCTGTGCCCTCTGGACCTGGCTGCAGCCAAGTAAAACTGTCTCCTGCTGTCTTGGGTGCCCTGCCTGTCTGTCCCTTCAACACCATGGACAGGCAGCTTACAGACCACGGTGGGCGGAGCTGGGGACAGGGCAGGTCAGGCTGCGGAGGAGCCCTGGAGAGGGCTGTTTCCTGGGTCACAGACGGCACCTTCTCACTGTGGCCTCCTGAGGTGGACCAGGGATGGGAGCTTTCTGGGGTGGCTTCTGTCAAGGCTGTAACCCCACCTGAGTGCTCCACCCTCCTGGCCTCATTGCCCCAGAGGCCCCCCGTCCCCTGGGTTAGTTACCGACACATGCACTTGGGGAACACACATCCAGACACACCTCCATGGAGGCACCACGCCTCCTTCCTGTTCCAGCCAGTGGCCTCTCGGTCCTCTCCATGCTGAGACTGGAGTCCTGGGGCGGCCATGCAGTCAGGCTGAGGGTGACCGGCACGGAGGACAGGTAGTGTTCCTGGAGGCTGGCTTCAGGGACAGAGGCAAGTGCTACCCATGGCCAGGACGCCATAGCTCTGACCATCCCTGCCTCCCCCATCCACTCTGACAGCCCTGAGGTCCTTCACCAAACAAAGGCACTCTTAGAGTTCCAGGACACAAGGATATCCGAGAACTTCTCTTTTTTTTTTTTGTACTAGGATTGAACCCAGGGCCCTTACCCACTGAGCCACATCTCCAGACCTTTTATGGTATTTTATTTTGAGGCAGGGTCTTGCTAAGTTGTTAGGGACTAGCTAAGTTGCCCAGGCCGGCTTTGAACTTGCAATCCTCCTGACTCAGCCTCGAGTCGCTGGAGTCATAAGCCTGCACCACTGTGCCTGGCTATCAGAGAATTCCGGAGATGGCTCAGGAAAGCAAGCTCTGGTGGCCCTGCAGGATCACACATGGGCCTCAAGGGTGCAGCCTGTGTCCCAGGCCTTTGGGCTCCCAGCCCACTGCCGGCATTTGCAGAGAGCAAGGCCCCGGTGTGATTGGGGAGAGAGGTGAGGTTAGAGCCAGCCGCTGCCTGGTTGGGACGGGCACCCTGCCTTCCCCTGTGGGGAATAGGGCGGCTGGGGCCAGTTCCCATCACAGTGCCCTGGTGCCGCCGTCGAAGGCTGGGCAGCGCTGGTCTCAGGCCCCAGTGCGGCAGGCCTCTGGATCAGCCTGATGGCTCTGGCCGAGCTTCCCCCGATTCTTCCCGGGAAGCATGCGTCCGGCTTGGGGCACCCGGGGTGTGAACGTGCAGGACAGAGAAGGCGATTTTCCTCACGTTCTCTGAAGCTACATAATTTGGGCAGAGATTTCCTGGAAACTGCATTAAGTTTCCCTCTCAGGCAGATGACCTGTAATTACCCCCCAAATTGGTGGCCACAGGCCTTTCCTGGGCTGCCGGCTCAGCCAGACCCCAAGAGCTTGTCTCCACGCCTTCCTGGGGAGGAGAGTCTGGTCCCTGGTGCCCACAGGAGGCCCCTTGCAGGAATGAGTCCTGCCCAGCAGACATGGCTGGTCTGGATTTGTGACCGCCACCAGGGAAGGGGGGTGGCCAAGGGGAATTGCGGTGTCACCTAACCCAGCGCCTCTCTCTGCCGGTGCGTCAGGGGGCAGCTCGGTCAGCTTTTCTTGGTACTGATGCTCACTCTCGGGAATCACTGAGTGTCGTGAGCGAAGCTGCCCCCAAGGTGTGGAGCCCAGCCAGCGAGGACATGGCGAGGCTCAGCCAGACGACAGGACCACCGCGTGTCACGGCCACCTGGGCGGCCGTAGCGAGATAGCATTGAAGTGGCACCCCCTTTCTCCACAGAAAACCCTCTCCACCATGGCTGATATTAGGACTGTTGGCAAAAGAGTCCAAGTAGATAGACTTCCTATTTTCATGTCGCCCTGTTTACTTGGCCACTGGCCTGGGAGACACCAGCGCTCCAGGTGCTGGACACCCCTTACCAGCTTTTCACAAACATGTATCCAGTATAGTAGTTTGTAGAAATGTGCAAACAAGGCTCTGGCCTTGAGCTGGGCTTCACAGAGATGTCTACATTTCTAAGATGAGTTACAATTGGGCTCCATGGTAACAGCTGGCAGGGGAGGAAAGAGAGGGGAGAGGAAGCTCCCCCCTTCTCAGGTGTGGTCCTTGAAGGGTTAACGTGCCCAGAACAGTGAGAGAAAAAGCTGATTTATGTGAACTTCTGCAGACTGTGAACTTCTGAGCCCCTCCCCTTACACGCTGGGTATAAAACTCTGAAACTCCCTGAACTCGGGGTTCAGGGGGTTAATTGATTACAGCGCCCCGCAGCAGCCATGTTCCCAGTGTCAGCTCCAAGTGTCAGCATGAGGTGTCCGCTGGGAATGGGCAGGAGAAACGGGTCTGTCCCCTGAAGGCTGGGGACAGGAGATCTGTTGCTGTGACGATTTTCCTGGGCAAGGCTCGTGTGTGGTGAGTGAGCAGAGGCGTGCGTGCTCCTGGGCTCCACCCCAGGTGACAAGGTCGGTGTGTGCCACCCTAACCAGTCCTGGGGTGCTCCTCCTTACGTGGGTCTCAGGTGAGGGGCTGCTTCCTCTGAAGGTCTGGTGTGTTTGTTAAGCTTGTGGGCCTGGCTCTCCTTCTCCTTCTTATTCTCCTCCTCCTCTTGTTGGTACCAGGGATTGAACCCAGGGGCACTTAACCACTGAGCCACATCCCCGGCCTGTCTTTTTCTTTTCAGTTTTTTAAAATTTTTATTTTGAGACAGGGCCTCGATAAGTTGCTGAGGAGGGCCTTGAACTTGCAATCCTCCTGCCTCGGCCTCCCTAGCCCCTGGGATTATAGGTGTGCGCCCTTTTGCCCAGCTGGGCCTGGCTTTTCTGATATGGAGTTGCTATGCCCATGTATCCATGTGCTTCTGATTTAATCTGAGATGATCACAGGTGGTTGTTTTTATCAGCATGATTAATTTATTTATCAGTCTTTGCCTTACGTTTGTGCTGGGCAGATGGTGGCTGTTTTCTTGTGCAAACGAGGTGTGGAGTCCTTCCACCTTGGCAGTTAAACTCAAAGCTCGTGGCAAACCATTGCTTTACAGAACGGAGTTACTCAGAGCACAGCCTGCTCTCCACAGAACCTGGCCTGGGCCCCTCCAGCAGCTATGGGTCAGCATCTGCTCGGTCGGTGTTTGAAGACCCTTACGGCCCACAGCCACGGCAAATGAGCAGAACAAGCACTCTGCGGGAAACAGAGGACAGGGAGGAAATCGGAACCCAGCTCTCGCCCCGTCGCTAGGGACCCCTGGCTTGCGTTTGTCATGACTTAAAGGGAGACCATGCAGAGCTCTGTCCCCCGCCAGGTAACTGGTGCAGGCATTTTGTCGGTGGCATTTCTGTTGGGCTCCTGCGGCGGCTGAGCCCCTGAGGCCAGAGTGGCCTGCTGCTGTTTGCAGGGCGCTGGTCCCGAGGCTGTTCTGGCTCAGAAGCCCTTGGTGATGTGTGCTGGGGAGATGGGGGCTGGGGAGAGGTCTCCAGCTGGGCCCTTGTTCCCCCTGCACCCTGCTGGACGCAGCAGAGCAGAAGCAGCTCCGACCGCTGACGGCTGAAGTTTTTCACCTGGCAAAGCCAGTTATGCCCTGTGCTGCACACGACAGCCCCACCACACGACGGCTCCCACAGCCCCCCGTACCCATGAACCACCTAGGTGGTTCCAGCCCAGGGCAGCTTGGCCTCAGGGTGCAACACCCCCAGCTGCTCCACAATGGGCGACTTGCTTCACTGTGTCCAGGGGGCGCTGCATCTCTGGATCCCACTGACCACAGTCCAGGAGCCGGACTTCCCGACTCGGATCCTGGCTCGGCGGCTTCCTGGCTGGCTGGAATGTGAGCTAGGACTGCAGGCACTGTGATGGGCTTGGACTGGTGGCCCCAACGCCTGGACCAGGGCTTGACTCATTATAGATACTGGAGAAACATTCTTCACTGTGTGAAGTGACATCCGGGCAAATGCGGGCGGGACACGGGAGGAATGCCCGTCAGCGTGATTGGCCCGGAACCTGCCTGTGGGTGGGTTGGTGGGTCTAGAGACACCCGTGGCCCCGCTTCTGCCTGTCAGGGGTCTCTCATTATAACAAATACCCGAGACAGTTGGCTTATAGAGGAAAGGGTTACCTGCTCACAGTTCGGGAGGTTCCAGTCCACCTCTGACTCGCTCTGCTGTTTGGGCTCTGCTGTGGCGCCAGGGAGCCTGCTCAGCACGGGTGTGAGAGAAAGAGGGTCCCAGAGCCCCTTCAAGGGCGCGCCCCATGACCTAAGACCTCCCAGGAGGCCCCCTCTTAAACGTTCCACCCCCTCCTGACTGTGGCAGGACAGACCAGGCCTTCCCACATGGGTTGAGGTCGTGGGTCGTGGGGGAACACCGCAGATCCTGACCACAGCAGCCGTTTTAGTGTAGTTCCAGTCCTGACCCCTCCCGCAGAGGAAAAGGGGAAACTCGGGGAGGGCCGGGGTCAGGCCCTACAGGGGTTTTGTGTTTCTCAGAGGAATTCTGGGTCTGCTTCCTCTTTGCAGGGGTCCTTCCCTGGAGGAGGGGTGGGTGGCCCTGCCCTCTCTTTGGAAACCCTAGGAGGATCTGGAAGCCCGGGTGGTGGGAGGCTCCTCTGCTCCGGGGTTTCTTTGTTCTGTGATTTGGAGCTGGCAGCCGCCCCACAAGCCGCAGACCGTGAAGGCTGCGGCTGCTCAGACAGGCTGTGGTCAGCACAGACAAGAAGGTCCCGGGCAGCCCGTCTGGCGTCTGGGAGTCAGACCCGCTAGCCTCCGGGGCTGCCTGGGGCAGAGCTGGGGCCGTGAGCCCCCCTTTGAGGCTTGTGTGGCGTGGAGTCTGGTAGCTGGGGGCTGTTTCGGGAGTTTGTGGAGAGCCTTGGGTGCCCACGGGAGCCACTCCAGGCCCATCCCACGAGCTGTGGGCCAGCAGCCTCCTCCACTGCAGGTGCCAGGGCCACCCGGGCACGGAGGCTGGCCTCGCCCCCCACTGGGGGCTGCTTCCTTGACACAGTGAGGTCCTCTCTGAGGTCTGCCCCGTAGGCCTGGGAGTGTGTTACATGAGGCACGGCTATCACCGGGGTGGCCAGTCTCAGGAGGCAAGGGGGTCCTGCCTGCTCTCAGCTGGGCAGGCAGAACCCTCCACCCAGCCACGCCTCCCCACGAGGGTCAGGGCTTGCAGCAGAGGAAGAAGTCCACAGAGAAGCCAAGGTGGCTCTCAGGCCACAGTGCCTTCCCATCTGCCGGAGACCCCCGGAAATACCCCTGGAAATGCCCCTGGATGCCCTCTCAGTGGCAAAGGGACCCCCAGAACGAGGCAGCTCTGCTGGCGGCTGTTACCCGGTTCAGCTTTGCTTCCTCAGGAGCATTCTCAGCCGGGGTGGTGGGGTGGCAGCCGGTCCGCCTGCTCAGCCTGCCCACAGGGTTGTCACCCAGCCAGAACGAGGCCATGTTGGCCAATGTCCTTTCCAAAGTGCAGGTTGTGATGTCCACAACTAGTGGGGCAATTGGAGGCAGCAGAGGACTGAGCTTCAGGAGTGGGCAGAGCTGGCCCCCAAATAAAGTGAAACCGCGAGGCTCCCCGGCCTGCAGCTTCGGGGCCGAAGCCCCAGAGCCCGAATCTTCTGAGCTGTGCTTCTCCTGTGGGGCCATCCATCCGCCAAAGGGTGGACGGAGCGAGGCCTTCCCTGCCCTTCTCCATAAATACTCAATGACAAGCTCCCAGGCCAGTCAGTGCCCGTGTCACCTGGCGGAAGGTAACGGGGCTTGGCGGCAGAGAGGCTTTAGGGCCTCTCACCGACAGGACATGCCAGCCAGAGAAGCAGGGCCCACAGAGGCTATGGCGGCTTCAGCAGCAGCGCTGGGGGGCGGCCAGAGACTGGGGTCCAGAGCTGGAGCCGTGCTGGACCAAATGCAGGGAAGGCAGGCAGGGATGGCACTGAGGGGCCCCGTCACCGGTGTGGGCCACTGGAGGCAGACAGCCTGGGGCTCCAGGGCCCTACGAAGTGACTGTCACTTCTGGCTGGTTGGGACTCACAGTCTAGGAAGTGTGCAGTGGACTGGGACACTCACCTTTAGGTGGCTTTGGTGCAGCGCTGACTGGTGAGCGTCCCTCGGCCCTGCCCCTCACCCTTTGGCTCTTGTGATGAAATTGGAGGCATCTCCGGTTTTTAAATTTTGTCAGTAGTAAGAGATGTGACGAAGGTAAGGATCTTGAGAGGGGGTCTGTCCAGGGGGCCCTGAAGGCTACCACTGCGTCCTTATAAGAGAGGTAGCAGAGATGACCCCACACAGAGGAGCTGGCCATGCAAAAACAGAGGAGGGCCACTGCCAAGGAACGGAGGGAGGGTCCCCCCCTCAGAGCCTGCAGGGGGAGCAAGCCCTGCTGCCGCCTGATTTTGGATTTCTGCCTCTGGAGCAATGCTGCTGTGTGAAGCCACCCGTTTGTGGCACTTGGTCCAGTGCCCCAGGGCTAGGTACAGGAGCTCTGATCTTTGGACTTTGAATTGGTCCTTTCCTACTTAGACGTCACCCTGACCTCCTGTCCCCCTGGCCAAGAGCACTCTAGGAGTGTCTTCCCTGCCTCCCCCAATGTCCCATCTCCCTGGAAGCCCCTTCCCTTGGCCTCAGCAAGCACTGTTACTGGGCCCCCCCTCCAGGGTCAGCTTGAACTATGGGGTGCAGCCTGAGAACCTTACTGGGGCCTGAGCCCAGGCCAGCTACACTTGCCCATGGGAACAGGGAATCCACGGTGGGTGGTCCTTCAGCTCAGAGCGGAGTGCCACCTACCTGGCCTGCGTTTCCCAAGCCTCTGTGCCTCAGCAGGCAGCAGGCACCCATCAGGGGACACTGCGTGCCAGTGAGGAGTTGCTGACGTCGACGCCCATGTTTGATCTTTCTGGACTTTCTGAAGTGCTGCCGAGCCCCTGATCAACTCAAACACACAGAAGATGGGGCCCTCTTCCCTACCTTTGATCTCTAGAAGTGAAAAACCCCTGAGTAGCCAGGAAACACATTTGTTTCATGATTCTCACTTGCGTGTGAGAATCATTGTTTGTCCAAGGAGGGTGACCATGGCTGAGGTCCAGGTAAGATGGCATCGGGCCGCGGAACAAGGCGGAACAAAGCCGCAGCTGGGCCAGCAGCCTCAGGGCCCGAGGCTTTAATCCATTGGCACAGGGAGAATGGCCTCTTCCCCCCTCCCTCCAGCGGTCTGTCTCCCTGAGAGGAGTACATTTGCCACTGGATTCCAGCCGTCCTCGGCTGCTCTGCGTGGGAACACCTTCCTAAGCCAGCTGATCCAGGCGAAGCTTCAGGAGAGAACATCCCCCGGCCCCGGGTCCCGCGTGGGAACAGGCGTACGTTTCCATCGCGCGAGGTTTCCGACGTCACAGCTTACGGTGATCTACAGGAATCAAGACAGAGGGGTATTGGCAGAGAGACAGACGCACGGGTCAGCAGAACAGAACAGAGAACCCAGAAATACGCCCAACTGGTTTTTGACAAAGACGCAAAGCGCTTCAACGTGAGAGTGAGTGATGGTGTCGGAGCCGATACCCCACATGCACAGAACGGCCCTGGACGAAGGGCCGGCTTTTATAGGAGTCTACTCAAGATGGTCGCAGATTGACTGCAAGGCACCAACTAGAAGACTCTGAAAAAATCCACAGACAATCTGCAGGATCTAAGTTGGATGGCCGAGGAGGTGTTATACAACACCAGTTTCCCCAAGAGGAGAGATGGAGGACAGCGCCATTGTTATTAGAAGCCTTTGCTCTGAGAAAACTCCTGTGCAGAGGAGACAGGGTGAGTCACAGACTGAGGGAAAGTGTCCACGCACCACCCCTCCAACAAAGGACAAGGGACTCTCCAAGGCAGCAGCCGAAACCAAACCATCCAGTCAGAACCTGGGCAAGACCCTGAGCTCACTAGAGGGGGAGTTCTGAGGACCACCGTCACCTGGAAAGGCGGTCAATGCCATCAGAGTCGGGAAATCAATACCCGGGGAAATGCTGCCTAGCGGCTCCCGGGACAGCTGACGTGGCAGCAGCAGATGCCCACCGCGTGTGGGGACACGGGATCAGCCTCTGTTGCCAGGGGAAGTGCCTCTGCCCTGGAGTGGAGTTTGGCAGCTTCTCAGAAGACCAGACCTGCGCTTGCCACATGACCTGCTGATTCCTCGGCTGGGCAAGCGTCCCAGGGAAACGCAGAACGTGCTCATATGAAACCTGCATGCACCTGCTCAGAGCAACTGTATTCATGATCACCCCCAACTGGAAGCAGCCCTGATGTCCTTCAAGAAGGTCAACGGTTGACCAAAAGATGGTGGGCCCGTATCTTGGAACACTGAGGGACAGACTATGAAAAATGCCAGGACGTAGGTGAACCCCTGAGGTATATGCAGAGTGGGAAAAAAAAAAAACGTCTCCAAGGCTTCCGCACAGTACTATTCCACTTAGCATTTTTGAAAGGGCGAAATTATAGAGATGGAGAACAGATCAGCGGGTGCCAGAGTCCGGGGGAGGCTCTGTGGCTGGGGCGGGCGGCACCAGGCCTTGTGCTGGAGCCGTGGCGGATCTGACTGGCGGGGTCACACGGTCTGCAATGTGATGGAGTCCCAGAGAGCCCAAGTCACACAGGCAGACACCAGTGCACATGAGGTAGGGGCATCTGTGTAAGACCAGAGAGCTCTGCCCACGTCCACTTCTTCAACCCAGAACCTCTGGGCGCCTCAGGAAGAGAGAGATGACTGCAGATCTCGGAAGATTGCCATCGGGGCCTCGCTGGGATCAGCAGGCCTTCCGGACCCCTGTGCTGCCACTGGGGGTGCTGACAGCTGGGCACAAAGCAAGTGACCCAGAGGAAGTCCACGGGCTTGGCATGGAGGCCTGTGGACAGCCACTGTCCCTGTCACAAGGCTTCACAAAGATGGAGGGAGGAGTGGGGCTGGGAAGGGACTTCACAATGCCTGGTGTGGTCCCAGGAGACCCCAGAGGCCTCAGCTCGGGACTGGAGACTCCGCTAGAGGAGTCAGAGCACTCTTCCCGCCAGGAGGGGAGTCCGAGCTGGGCCCAGTGCAATGCTATTTGCAGGGAGTGGTCACCCGGGGGCAAGGAGAGGGCTGGAGCAGAGGTCCCTGCTTATGCTCCTTCTGTCCTCTCGGTCCAGGGACACCTGCAGTGTGTGCTGAGCACAGAGGCCGGGCAAGCGCAATGGAGAGAGAGGAGGCCAGTCCTCACCATCCAGTGGCTCCTTACAGCCCCACGGTGCTAACAGTTGCTGTGAATGTGGATTTTCTTCCCTGCTTTCCCCCATTGTACCATACACAACGTGGGATTCCTCTTGACATTTCATAAACGCTCCCAGAGGAACGAACCACCCAGACCCCCGCCCCGTTCCCGGGTCCTCTATGCACTGGCCTCCCTTTGCTCTACACAGGACCACTCCCCCTCCCCCTTATTCCTCTTTAGCTTCCACACATGAGAGAAAGCTTCATCCATTTTCCTGCAAATGACACGGTTTCATCGTTCTTTGTGGCTGAATAAAGCTCCATTGTGTATATAGACCATGCTTTTTCTCTTTATCCATTCGTCCACTGAGGGGCCCCTGGCTGGTGGCACAGCCTGGCTGTGGGGAACGTGCTGCTGTCAACCTGGTATGCCTGTGTCACTGGGGCATGCCGACTTTAATTCTTAGGGTAATTACTGAGGAGGGGGTGGCTGGGTCACGTGGTGGTGCCAGGCCTGGCCTTTTGAGGACCCTCTGCACCGGTTCCACAGTGGCTGTGCTGATTCACAGTCCCACCAACATGGACAAGGGTCCCACATCCTCTCCAGCGTCCCTTATTAGTGTATTTTTGGTGGCCGCCATGCTGACTGGTGTGAGATGAAATCTCAGTGTGGTTCTGATTTGCACGTCCCTGATTGCTAATGGTCTTGAAGATTTTTTCATGTATTTGTTGGCCATTTGTATCTCTTCTTTTGAGAAAGGCCTGTTGGGTTCATTGCCCACGTTCTAATTGGATTATTTGGTTTTTGGTGTAAAGGGTTTGAGTTCTTTCCTATTCTGGATATTCATCGTCTGTTAGACGAGCAGCTACGGTGGTTCTCTCCCGTTCTGAGGGTCCTCTCTTCACGTTGTTGATTGTCTCCTTTTCTGTGCGGGGCTTTTTAATTCAGTGCCCTTCCATTTATTCACTCTGGGCCTTATTTCCTCAGCTCTGGGGTCCTTCTGAGAAAGTCCTTTCCTGGCCTTCATGCTGCAGTGTTGATCTCCATTTTCTTCTAGGAATTGCATAGTTTCTGGTCTAATTCCGAGGTCTTTGATCCTTTTGTGGATTTTTTGTGCAGGTGAGAGATAAGGGTCTAGTTTCCTTCTCCTACACAAGCATAACCAGCTGCCCCAGCGCCATTTGTTAAAAGGCCTTCTTTTCTCCAAGGCGTCTTCTTGGCCTCTTTGTCAAGGGTCAGTAGATGTGGGCCGTCTCTGTCTGCCATTCTGTGCTGTTGGTCTGGGTCTGGTTTGAAGCCAGTGCCATGCAGGTTGGTTGCTGTAGCTCCGACACGTAGTCAGGGTGAGGCCTCCAGCATTGCTTTTTTGTCTCAGGAATGCTTTGGCTATTCTGGGTCTTTCTTTTATCCTTAAAATTAATTTTAGGACTATTTTTTTCTAGTTCTGTGAGGAATATAATTGGTATTTTGATGGGGACTGCTTTGAATAGTTCACTTTGGGCAGTATGACCATTTTTTCAACATTAATTTTGCTTTCCATCTTCTTGTGTCTTCTTTGATTTCTTTCTTTAGTGTTCTATTGTTTTCATTGCAGAGGTCTTTCACCTCCTTGCTTAGATTTATTCCTAAATTACTCCTAGATATTTTATTTATTTATTTATTTATTTATTTGTTTGTTTATTTATTTACTTTGAGGCCACTGTGAATGGGATCATTTTCCTGATTTCTTTTTCAGCAGATTCGTTATTGGTGTAAGGAAAGCTGTTGATTTGTTGATTTTGTAGCTTGATTTGGGGTTTTGTTTTGTCTGTCTGTCCATCTAGATGTCTGTCTGCCTGCCTGCACACTTGCATACTCCTTGGCCGGGTGGTACAGGAAGGAAGGCAGGGGACACACAGCCTGGTGTGAACAAGGGTTGGGTGGAGTGCCAAACTCCAGTCTAGGCCCAAAGGTGAGGCTGGTGGGATTGGCTCGTGGGGCCCCCACCTCCCATCTGGCCCCCTCCAGGGTAACATTGGAGAGTCTGTCACCCTCAGAGTCTCACGCCCCCTCCTGCGTAGTTTTCCAACATGGCTGTGGACCTCGGCACCTTCCTTCCCTTCTGCTATGACCCTGCACCTTCCCGGGCTCCCCGAGGCACATGCCATGGGCATCACGTGTCACAGAGGGGAACACAAAGCACAGCGCTGTGGGGCAGGTTCCCAACCAGCTGGGACGTGACCTGGGCATCCTGGCTTTGTCCTTGTAGGGGAGCCTGCCCATTGATAGGAGGCAGACTTTGGGAGTGGGCACCATAGCATGGACCCAGGAGCCCCGGGACCCAGACTGTGACACCGTCAGCTGTGTGACCGAAGAACAAGAATCCCCCTGCACCACCTCCCCGCTGTGGCTCCCTGCGGGGCTCCGCCCATGGAGTTCAGGGCACAGAGCAGGCTCGGGGCCCAGCTGCCAGGAGCACAGCTCATTCGAGATGGAGGCAGGAGGAGTGGAACCCAGCTTGGCAGCAGCTGCTCCGTCTGCTGAGCTGCTGCAACAAGGTGCCACAGCCCAGGGGGTCTGGGAACAGCAGAAGTGCACTCCTCCCAGTTCTGGAGGCTGCAGGTCCAAGATCAAGGTGCCCTAGACTTGGTGTCGGGTGAGGGCGGCTTCCCGGTTCGTGGGTGGCGCCCTCTCCCTGTGTGCTTGCATGGTGGTGGGGAGGAGCTCTCTGGGATTTCCTCCATAAGGACATGAATTGCTTTCACGAGGCTCCACCCTCATGACCTGGTTGCCTCCCAAAGCTGCGGCCCTAACACCGTCTCCCTTGGGTTGGGTTTGGGGGACACGAACCTTCAGCCCGTGATGGAACCCGTTGGCCAAGGGCCTGCTCTGCAGAGCTTCTCAGCAGCAGTGGGCACATGTGTGACACCGGTGTGCTCAGGATGGTGCCCACCAGCACCATGGCAAGGCTCGGGGAGACTGTGCACAGGGCGGGAGCTGCTTACCGTGTGATGGGGAGGCCTCCCTGACAGACATGGACCATGGAATGCAAATGCCACAGAGGCTACCTTTGCCCACGAGGGGTCTTTGCACACGCCTCTGACTCTGGCTTAGAGTAAACCCTAGCAGTGCAATGGCTGCTGCTGAATGCTGCACGTGTCCCCAGGTCTGGACCCTGTTTTAGACCTGGTGACTCTGGGCTTGTGTAAGGACCCTCTCCAGCTCACAGGACCACCTGCCTCTCACCTGGTACTGGAGCCGCCCACCCTTTCCCTTCTGATCTGGATGCCAAACCCCAAGGTGGCATAGTGACCGTGTGTGCCTGTGAGCTCACGGGGGCAGATGGTTACCAGAACAAACCTCCTCGCCGTCCCAGGTCCTGGCCAAGCCTAGGACTGTGTGGAGGCTGGGGTGGGGGGAGGTGACCACGAGTTTTCCATTGTGAGGGGAGGGGGCTCCTGGGCCTGTAGACAGAGGCAACACTAAGTAGGCTGGACTGTGGGCACCTCCCTCGGCCCCCCAAGTGGTTCCCACTGACAGATTAGCTTTGCCAGCTTTCTGGGGAGGACTGTTTGTGGGGAGGGAGCACTCCCAGGGATTGGTGATGGAGGATGCGACAGATCCTACCCCCAGCAGGCTGAGGGAGGACAGAGAATCCCAGGCACTGTCCCTCACCTGTCAGGGCCCAGGTCCCGGTGCACAGAGCAGGAGAGCACTCAGGATGTATCTAAAGGCTCCCCTGGGCACTTCCCTCCACTTGGCAAGCTGGTTCTGGCTGTGTGGAAAGCCCTCAGCACAGACACGGCCTGGAGCACTGTGGTGGTCAGAGGCCCAGCAAACCCTCCGTCCTGCACACACACACTGCTCTTCACAACGAGGGATGCACTCAAAGCCCCTCTCCTTGAAAGTCAGTGGAGCCTGTGACTCACTGTGACCATAAGAACACAGAAGTGACATTCTGAGACTCCTGAGCCCTGCGTGGAGAACACCCAGCCTCCACATCCTGCTCCTTGGAACTGGCAGCCATAATGTGAGGGGGTCCAAGCAGCCACGTGAGAGGCCAGCCAGAGGAGGACGGAGCCCCGCCAAGAGGGTGGGGCTGAACTTGGGCCATGGGCAGCTGCCACATGAGTGAGAGCCCTGTGGGACCTTCCAACCACCCTCACCCATGGGCACCATGGACATCAAAAGAAACCCCAGATTGACCCACAGACTTGTAAAACATGGCTGTGCTAAGTCACAGCGTTCTAGATGCCTTCATTTTTTAGGTGATAAATAACTGAAACCAATTAATACAGCAAGGCTGTTTTTAAAAAGTAACAGAACTATGGAACCAACCTAGGTGCCCTTAAACAGAGGAATGGGAGAACAGCTGGAGAAGACCCAGTGGGTCAAGGGGCCCTTTCTCTGGTGGGCTGCCTGATCTCTGTGAGCTTTCTCTGGCCAGAGCACAATACCCCATGGCTGTTGGTGAAGGTTCCCTAACCTCAGCAGGTCGAGGGCCGAGCTTCTGTGCTGGGCCTGAGCCTTCAAGGCGGGTCTCCCTTCCAGGGGAAGCAGGACCTGGGAAGCTGAGGCTGGGGCTGGGACTTCCTTGCTGGCCCTGCACTTGGGGAGGGGCTTCCTCTCTGTGAGCCTATTCTCTTTGCAGTTTCCAGGCATTTTCTGGACTCTTGGTCCTAAAGGGATGGGGGACACTGTCCAGGCCGTCAGCCAAGCACACACAGAGGCTTGCATCTTGTGCCTCGGGGTCTCTGTCCATCAGAGAAGGTGCGCCCAGTGGTGGGCGCAACTGCCCAGTGCAGACACTTTCTATTCACCCCACCTCTACCCAGCATCCACTCACCAGCAGGGCTGGGTGGCCACTCTCCTTCTAATCTAGGGAAGCAGGGAAGGTCTGAGGGCAGAGGGGCCAATTCCACAGCAGTGTCCTTGACAGGGCCGACAGCTTCTGCTTAGCTGCTTCCACCTGGGACGGGTCTTTCTTTCTTTCATATATATATATACTTTAGTAGGCGGGCACAATACCTTTATTTAATTTATTTATTTTAACTGTTTTTTTAAACTGGTTTTATTTTTTAAATACAGGACAGCGGACTGCATCACAATTCTTATTACACATATAGAGCAGTGTTTCATACCTCTGTTTGTACATAAAGTATGTTCACACCAATTCATGTCTTCATACATGTACTTTGGATAGTGGTGTCCATCACATCCCACCATCCTTTGTTTTATTTATTTTTATGTGGTGCTGAGGATCTAACCCAAGGCCTCACACGTGAGTCACAGCCCCAGCCCTGGGACGGGTCTTTCTAGCTGGCCTCCTCTCAGCACTGGACGTGGGCCAGCGT